TTCAATTAATATATCATCAAGTAAAATATATATTTTCTACCAATTTTCCACCACCGCCAGTGCAGAGCCCCAAAATCACAACCCAATCAAACTCAAAATTTCAGTTCCCAAATAGTATAACTCATTTTCAAAGTACAAATTAGAAGCTAAAAGATGGAAACAACCACGATACCCCGGAGGAGAACATCTGAAAACCTAGAATTGTTTGGAACATTTGGAAATCACACTCAAAATTGCATAACCCAATTCCCACCAAAACAACAATAAGTTTGGATTCCAAGTCCCTAGTTATCAGATAATTTTTTTGGACCAAATATATACAAGTCCCAACACAGTTATTGTCTAAAATTTTGATTACGGAATCTTGGAATTTTTGGGTCATATCAAATGTGAAGTTTTCAATTGCTTGGAACTAAATATTCTCTTCATTTTTCTTTAATTATAAGTTTCTTCATTTTTCTCTAATGTTGGAGGGATTAATAATCAATCAACAATTACGCCATTCATACGTGATACTAAATGACATTTTGTTAACCTATAAATGCAATGTAAGCTACTATAATGACCCGGACTTTGTATCCAACCGTTCTCTTACGTAATGTCCGCTTTGAAAGGGAATCTTCTCTCTTACTCCTCATAGTCGTTCTTTTTATGTCATGTTGTCTAAATGATATCAAGATTCAACTTAAATATCTCTTAAGGAGATATCATGTGTTCGAATAATGGGGAATGCAACAACATGACAGAAAGACGTGAGATGTAAGAGGGAAGATTTCCTCCCAAAACAGACAAGACGTAAGAGAACGACCTAAAACGAGGTTCTAATCGTTACAGCAACAATTAGTGGTAATGTCAGAATGGGTGAGTGGGGGTGATGGCATGGGTGACTTTTCTCTTTTGTTAAGCTTTTCTTGAAACAAGAAGCTACCATTTTTAGAATAAAGAATTTTTTGCTCCATTGTGATCAATTTCTTTCTATTGAATATTGAATACAACCAAGAAACAACATGAACCATGATTTCTAGACAAATTCCTGTAATGGATTTTAGATTTGAAATAATAAATATGAATGAAATAACGATAAGAAAAAGAATAGAGATGATGCAAACGATATAACTGTGAAGGTTCGATCCAAAACAATGATCTACGTCATCAGTTACCAAACTCTCTGACACGAGCAAGACATTTTCACTCGATTGACTTATCGTGTAATCCAATCCTTTACAATAATTCTGTGACTTACAAATAAGAAGTACAGATTTTTGTATAATATTAAACACCTATTTGGACTTCATTATTTCACACTTTAGTGCGAAAAATGGTAACTTTTTTCGAGAATGTGTGGTTGAAAAAAAGGAAAAATTATTAGTTTTATGAGTAATATTATTTTAGTGAAAAATGTGTGGTCGATAAGAAGAGAGAAAAATAAATTTTAATTTAATAGGTGGCCAAACAGAGGATAAGCTTTACCGGACCTCAATATGACCCAACTATTAAACTTTAAAAGACCTTAATATAATCCACACAGTGACTTATAAGAAGGAGTGCCGATCTTTATACTATTGAACTTTCACATGACCTCAATAAGACCCATATGTTTAGAGTAAATGATTTTACAATGAAAATTCTCTTTTAATAAATGATACAAGTGAATTAAGTACTAAGATATGCAAACAGTTCAATAAATAGTAATAAATGAAAGTTCAAGTGTTAAATGAAAAACTTTAATGCATGTGATAAATAGAAATTTGATTCAATCATTCAAAAATTTTCAATGAGAAGATGAAGAAGAAATCAATGTAATGTAAGTTCAAAAATCTTCTCAAAATATATATATTTTTTTTTTTAATGAATGATTGTAATAAATTAAGTACCAAGAAAGATAAGAGAAACTTTGATGAATATGATGATTTTATAAGTTCGATTCAATCAAATAAAATTTTCAATATGAAGAAGAAGAAATATATATAATGTAAATTTAAAGATCTTCTTCAAAATATTAGAGAGAAAATTCTCACTATCTTTATTCAATTCGTGTTTTTTTCTTTATTTTTTTGAAACTACTACTTCTACTACTAATTTCTCAAACTTAGTTAGTTTCAAAAACTATACTTCTTTACTTACGTTTAATAGGTTTAAAGAAATCTTTCAAAATATATCTCACTTTATTATTCTTGAAAGTCTTATGAAGAATGGAAAGAGTGGGGATATTTATAGAGTTCAAAAAACAAAATACTCAGTCGAACCGGACAATCAACCAAACGTCCGCATTTGGATCCAGACAAACAAAATAGCCATTATGCATATGAAACCAGACTGTCAAAAATCCAACCGTTGCATCGACGTGACAAATGCCTTTTACCAATTTATAGAGGAATATTTTGTAAAACTTTTTGGGGATCCGGACGTCTGCATGCTGAGACCAGACGTCCAACCATTGCAATCGATTTTCCTATTTTTTACTCCATTTGATTCGATTGGAATATTTTAACAAATGTAGATTTTTGGAAAGCATTTTTAACTAGGTAAATGATATTTTGAAAATATGATATAAGTTCAAACATCATTTTGAAAATCAATTTTATTTTTATCAAAATATTTTATGCAAGTGATAATCAAAATAGCTTTCAATGCACAAAGTAAATTTTGAACTTCTATCATTCATTGTTAAAGATCAAAGTATTAGTACATTTATATTTGAACTAAGAAATTTAATATTTGATCTTGTTTCGAAGTTTGGCTATTAGGATCTCATCTTGATCTCTCATTAACATTTGGCTCTTAATCTCTTGATCTTGATTTTTCTTTGACGTTTGTCTTTTAAGATATTTTAACGACAATCGATCAATTTATCGTTGAATGCTTTGAAAACTATAATTACTTTAAATTTAATTGTTAGTAAACAAGATTAACTTGTTTGTTATAATCAAAATTTTAAAGTTATAATCAACCATAAGTCAACAATATTGGTAGGGTATTGGAAAATCAGCGGAAAGTGATGGCGGTGGCGACGACGATGTGGAAAGCGGGTGGGTTTGGGGAATGGGGAATTGAATTACTTATTATATTTCTCGTATTTTCACTAAAAATAATCAAAATGTCAAAGACAAATTTTGAATTTTATGTTATAAATTTACACCATGTTTGATCCACATTCTTACAAAAATTCAGGGGTTGATCTCTTTGTATTTCAATTTTCTATTTTGGGTTTTGAATTCATTTTGAGTTTTGTGTTTTGAATGTCCATTTTTAAATTATTAAAAATGTGTTCCTTTTACCATTTTGAAAAATTATTTTCAAAAACCCAAAATTGAAAATTTTGTTCTTCTCTCTCTCTCTCTCTCGACACCTCGCAAGGCCACCAACGCCAAAGATCGGCTTCTTCTGCTATTGGGTTTGGTAACGTTGTCTCTCTATCTTCTTCCCTTCCTCTTTGTTGTTAGTTGGATGCAGCAGCGCCGATTGTGTGGTTTTGGGTCGGTTGTGTGGTGTTGGGTGTGGCGGTGGCGATGGCGATGGCGATGGTTTTGGGTCGCCACCAACAAAAACCACCCAAAAACAGGTGGTGTGTGGTGGTTTTGGCTACGGTGGTTGCAGTATGGTGCAAGTGGTGTGTGCAAGCAGCGATGTGGTCATTTTTGGAAATTCGTTTTTGAAAATAGGTAAGTAAACGTGTTTTCACTACTTTAAAAAATCGAGAACCCCTCATTTTTTAAAACTCATTTTCAACCACACATTATTTAATGAAATAATATCATACGCAAATCCAAAATTTTTCCTTATTTTTTAACCACATATTTTTTTCATCAAATCACTATTTAAAATACATTCTCCACTCAATAATATGCATCAAACAATATATTAATCTTGTTTTGAAAGATGCGTTTTCAAAAATTCCAAGCTGAACAAGTTTTTAGTGTTTTACAAAATTGAAAATAATAAATCAAACATTCTTTCATTTTCTTTAAGCGTTTGTTTGGGAGATATTATTTGAAATGAAAAATGATTTGTCAAAGAATGAGATTGAAAAATGGGTGGGGTGGGGTGGGGTGGGAATTATTAGTCTATGTGCAAAAATAATGTGAACAAGGTATGATTAAAAAATGAATTTAAGAAAAAATAATTTTAAATAAGAATCTCCTTTTTTTTCCCTTCCTTTTGAATTTAAATAATAAATTTCTAAAAGTAGCATAGCATAGGCCAGCTTGATTCGATCATGTATAATGTGGACCAGCCAATTGGTCAAAAATTATATCAATCATTACTGGTTAACTCTTGTAATAATTCTTAATTACAACTTAGAAAGGGAACATGAAATTATTTGACTCACTAATTGCCACACAAAATCTTTATTATATAATTGCCACTGCCATATGGCATTTATAGTCTAAAAGCAGTCAAATTTTTGGGAGCACTAACTCCTCTTTTGTAATAACTACTGAATGAGGGGACATTACTTATTAAAATTCTTCCACTCAAAATGTTTAATAATTGCCATTTGGCTTAGTCTAAAAGCAGCCTAATAGGACAATAATTAGTTTGGACAAAACCCAGTCTAAGTGTTTGATTAGGCTGAATATAATTTTATGTAAATTCCTATTTTTAATTCACTTATTTTCTTCCCTAAAATATCTATCCCAAACAAGCTCTAATTATGAAGTAGGTGAGTTTGAGTCACGTTAGTTTGGAAAAATGTATTTTGAAATATTAGAGAATGTGTGGTTAAAAAAGAAAGAAAAATTATTGATGTGATGAAAAATATTATTTTATTGAAAGATGTGTGATTAAAAATGAGTAGGCGGGAGAAAATTTTAACTTCCCTCACACGCGGCTAAACTTCTGAGTTTAGTCAAACATACTGACAGTGAAGGGTTGAAAAAAATCACCGATCTCCCACGAAATCTTATTCGTAATTTGTAGAACTGTCAGCTTTGGCTTCTTCTCAACTCTTCTCATCCTCTCAATTCAAGATTGTGGATGTGTGCGCGAGAAAGGATCCCATGGAATACGAGAGGGTGCAGAAGTTACAGGTGAGAATTTGATTTGTTTTATACAACCAATTATATAATGACATCCACATAAATGCATTTGAATAACTGCAAAAATTTATGCGAAAGAGTTTTTCAATATGGGGAAAACCTGCATTAAATTTTGAATTTGTTGTTTGATGTAGACTGGTATAATATCTCCAAGTAAGTTGAGGATGAAGCTAATGGGGCCTCACCATCTCAGGAAGAAGGATGGATCAAATAGTGATTCTTCAAGAACATCTCCTGCCAGGCTTGAGGATTCAGTATTTGTGAAGAACCGACTATTGGCCACACGAAGTGGAGATTTTGAGGATGAAGGTTTGATATCTTTGCCCATTTTAATTTCAACCTCGAATCTTTTTTAGTTTTTAACTATTTGATTATTTGTATATACTGTAGGATCAGATCAACATGAGGCCTTCTTTGAACTGTTTTTAATTAGCTTCGAAGTAATTGTTTATACGTCCTCATTTGATCCCAAGAAAATGTGTTTAAAATGCTGAACCGCTCTTAATTAGTAGTAATTGCTCATAAAATTATTTACAGGTCTTTGAATTTTCGTAGGGACATAACTTTTGTTTATAAAACTGAATAATGAGTTGGTTTTGATTGAACTAAACATAGTGCTGATTTAGGGCGTATGCACTACAATTTGCAGCTTCCAGTTTAGAAGTTCCGCCAACAAAATACAGTAGTAGTTCAGTGTTAGCTGCAAGCCAAGGAGATGGTATTTTGTCGCAACCAAGAGGGCTCGTGCTGAGGGAAAATGATAATGTGGGCAGTTTCAAAATGCAGCTAGTTTCAATTGGCGATGTTAGTAATTTTAGTTCAGCGCAACCTATGAGGATAAATGAAGATGAGATTCTTGATTATGACAGTACTTCGAGCTTCGAGTTTCATAAAGGGGAGAGATCGCTGCATCATCCTGCGAATAGATCATTCTCAAGACCTTTGCCATCCAAATGGAATGATGCTGAGAAGTGGATTATGAATAGGCAAAACATTCAATCTAATAATTCGAAGAAGACCAACAGACACAATCAAGTGAACTGGGTACCTGACACTAATATGGTGAGAGTTGTCCCAGAGTCCACTGGTTCTGAAAATAAGTTATCTGTCAAGCACGTTGATTTCTGTCAGCCTGCATCACAAACAGGGGCGTGGAAGTCTGCTTTTGCTTCACAAGGAGCTCAACCCTTTTCAGGTCAAGGAAATGGAGTGAATGCATTAATCGATTTGTGCCCTGAAAGCAAGGATTTGATGGAGGTGGAAACTATGGGTTCGTCTTGCCTAAAGACCATGACAGAAGATACTTCAGGTGATTAAATGCTTTCATTATTCCTAAAATTTTAGGCTCTGTTTTTCAAACACATCTTCACATTTGGCTCTGATACTCAAGGCTTGGCCAAATAAAAAATGCAAGATGTTAAACTTCTTCTGATAGAATACTCTTTAGCAAAATATAGTGACGTCCATTTAGATTTGTGTACATAAAAAGCTCTACACTGGTAAATGTGTTGCCTTTTTTGTCTGGATACTGTTTTACTGGCCACAAAAAATTGCGTGTTTAATTTTCTGGGAGTATCAAGCATCATCCATATCCTTAAAGCAAACAGGGTCAACTAGAAATGAGGTCTCCTACTGTCCTAGTCTTACATTCGATCTCTGGATGTGGCAAAATTGTTGGAAATTTTAATACAGATTTTGTTGCAGTTGTTCAAAGGCGATATTGGCGTTTGACACTTTATTGTCCTACATTTTGGTTGTGGGTGATTAATGGAGTAATATAGGTATAGTAAGAAAGAAATACAAAATTCTGAGCATTTAGACCAATTTTGTTATAAATCTAGACTCTATACGCAATCCGTTAGCTTACGTACTGTCCGTTTTGGACAAAATTGGTATCAGGATTCAACTTAAGTATCTTATTATTCAGATATCTTGGGTTCGAATCTTGGGGACGCGATAGAAATCCGTGAGGGGAGTAAGTGGGTATAGGCTCGCCCAGAGCAAACGGTACGTAAGCTAACAAATGGATATAGAGATTCGGGTCGTTACAAAAACGAAGGTTTTTTTTGGAAATGTAGCTTATCAATTGGCTTTTGGAAAAAAAGGGAAACTTCGAACCAAGATATATTGGACCTTTTGAAATACTAAAAAGGGGTGTGAATGTAGCTTATCAATTGGCTTTGCCATTATAGCTTTCTACAGCACACGACGTCTTCCTTATAGGTGCTCAAGAAGTATGTTCCTTATTTAAAAGGGATTCATCAAACCAATGTATCATCATGGGGAGCACCAATGTTATTTGTCAAAAAGAAAGATGGGTTAGTGAGGATGTGCATCGACTATCGTAAACTAAATTGAATCACTATTAAGAATAATTATCCTAGGACCGAGGACTTGTTCGACCAATTACAAGGCGTAAGGGCATTTTCAATTATCGACATGAGGTCTCAACCACCAATTGAGGATCAAATCTAGCGATATGTCAAAGATGGCCTTTAGAACTCGGTATGGTCATGAGTTCTTAGTTATGCCATTTGGCCTGACTAATGCTCCCGCAGTACTCATGGACTTGATAGACCACGTATTCTATGAATACCTAGATCAACTTGTCATTGTATTCATCAATGATATTTTGATTTATTCGAATATTAAAGAAGAGCACAACGAACAATTGAAGAAGTTAGCTAATGCGCCTAAAGGATCAAAAGGTTTTGTAATATACAGTGATGCATCCAAGCACGATATAGGTTATGTTAATGCAATAAGGTAAGGTAGTCACCTGTGCATCTACACGGTTGAAACCTTATGAATAGAATTACCCCAAATATGACCTAGAACTCGTAGCAATAGTACACGCCTTGAAGATTTGTAGACTCTACTTGTAAGGGGGTAATGTGACATTTATATAGATCATAGGAGCCTCAATTATATTTTTACTTAGATTTTTACTCAGAAGGATTGAACATGAGGCAGAGAAAATGGCTTGAAATAGTAAAGGATTACGATGGTGAAATCTATTACCATTCAAGCAAGGCGAACGCAGTGACAAACGCTTTAAGTAGGAAAATCGCAAATAAAGCGGCAATGTTAATAGCTCAAAAATCTCTATGGGAGGAATTCGAAAGATTAAGTCTTGAAGTAGTCACAACTTCGTCAGACGCTATCACTCGAATGGCAGCACTTTGGTTCGACCAAAACTTTGTGATCAGATTAAGAATCATCAGAAAAGTTATGCAAATAGAAAGCGAAAGAAACTATAATTTATAGTCGGAGTATTTTGAAAGTCATGCCAATGAAACGTGTGTTACAATTTAGGAAGAAAGAGAAACTTCGATCGAGATACATTGGACCTTAGATACTCAAATGGATTGAAAATGTAGTTTATCAATTGTCTTTGTCACTAAAGCTTTCTACAGCACACGACGTCTTCGTTATAGGTGCTCAAGAAGTACGTTCCTTATTTAAATCACATGCTGAAACATCAACCCTTGAAAATTTAGCAAGATTTGAATTATGAGGAAACCTCACTTTAAGTTATAGCTCAGAAAGTACAAATCGTTGGTCAAAGTGTTATGGTCACACCATTCAGTCGAAGAGACAAGTTGGAAACACGAGGATGAAATGTGATCTAAGTATCCCAACTATTTGACAATGACTCTAACGTCATTTTTTAGGACAAAAATTTATTTTAAGAGGGTAACACGTCAAAAAGTTTTAATAGTCGTTAATCTTGAATTTGAGACCTTAGTGTAAGATGTTGAAAGTTAGGGGACCAAATTAATGACTTTCCATTGTTGAAGGACCCAATGTGCACTTTTTTTGAATTTCAAATTTTGATAAAGAAGTGATAATGGAATTGTCATGTTTAGTCAAGGAAAATATTATGGGATTTTCGTATTTGAATTATGGAAAGTAACTTAATTTCTATTTTGATTAAATGTGATTGCATGATTTGATATAAATATTGCATGTCAATTATCCTAATTAATTGGTTAATTATTATAATTAGAGAAACTTTCATCTATTAAAAATTAGAAACATTATTTATGCATGGGTAATTAGCAATCTCACATTTTTATATAGTATGATAGAATATTTAATTTGGCATAATTAAATCAAATATTTTAATTATATGGCAATATCTTATTAGTAGCAATTATATATTTATTAATATATTTAATTGGAAAATTAGTTGAGTGATTAATTACATTTTATATAGAAAAACGTGTGGCATTAATTAAAATGAAATCTTGTATAAAAAATAGGTAAATAGGTTAAACCTTAGAAGCCCCTATTTATACTCCCCCTCACATCATTTACTCTCACACACAACTTATGTTGTACTTTATATTTCTCTTCCTCTCAACTCATCTTCCACATACGCATTTTCACGTTATAGAGTTTAACACGCACAGTGTCCAAAGGAATTTTAAAGTGAAAGTCTAAAAAAGCAATTTCTTAGATTTACATTTATCTTCTTCCATACAGTAAGTGTAGTAATACGAATTGTTCTTTCAATATTTGAATTACGGAAATCTATGTTATGAATATAATGATACGGAAATCCTAATTATGATTATGATAAGGGTCCTATATGTATAAGTTCAAAGGACCGGAATTTAATAGCGCTACGCACGGAAATTATAGTCACGAAGCTTGGAATTTAAGTCTCGTGTCACCATATGTATATTATGATTTTCCGTATTTAAATATGAGATGCAATTCGTTATTTACTCATTTACCGAGATTTATGTCTTACATGTATATGATGAACCTTTTATAGGTAACTAAAAAGGGGAGTTCGAGGTGGTCTGAGGTGGATTGTGCTTGCGTTGGTAAAAAGGAAGAATAAATTATGTAGTTTAAGGATTTTTAGTAATGTTCATCGTATTTCTCTTTAAACTAATTTTAAATCTTTAAATTTTAAGAAAATATTACGTTTTTCTTTTGCTTATGAAAATATTCTTTACGGTACATGTATAATGATTCCAGAAGTAAAAATTTAGGTCGTTACAAGTTCCTTCGTTTACTTCTCAATAACCATGCAGGCATTCCAGCACCAAGATCAGTTACAATGAGAGACATGGGAACAGAAATGAGTCCAATTCCAAGTCAAGAGCCTTCAAGGAGTGCTACTCCTGTAGGTTCCACAACCCCATTCCGTAGCCCAACTTCTTCTCTGCCATCCACTCCTCGAAGAAGAGAGCCAGCAACCTATCCGATAGAGCACTCAGATAAGAATGATTTGCAACTTTCAGCTGAAAATTTGAAAACAGAATTGTCTGATCAAGAACAAAAGCTCGACACAAGAAGAGAAATTATAGCTCTTGGTGTCCAACTTGGTAAGATGAATATTGCTGCTTGGGCAAGTAAAGATGATAAAGAGAAAAGTAATTCCAGAAATGAAACCATTGATTCTAACGAGCTTGAAGGGATTGAATATGCAAAACGGGCAGCTGTGTGGGAAGAAGCTGAGAAATCTAAATATGCTGCCAGGTTTCTCCTAAAAGCTGACACTGAAGTTTTTATTTTGGACATTCTTTGATCTAGTAAAAAGTTAGTACTGGATGTAATGCTTTGACTGAATCATGTCCTGTTGTTAGGTTTAAACGAGAAGAAATAAAAATCCAAGCATGGGAAAGTCAACAGAAGGCAAAGCTTGAAGCTGAGATGAGGAAGATAGAGGTACCATTGCTTCTCCTCACATCTCATATCTGTATATTTTAAATCATCCTAGGAGCAAGGTTCTCCATCCTTTTTCCATCTATCGTAAAATGCTATAATATTACGTCATCATAGTAACAAAATTCTCCGAATTTTTGAAAAGCCTCTCAAATACCTGTTGATTTTTTTATTGGATGATAGAACCACAACCACTACCCCC